CAATGTCTATGACCCAACAATTCAACCCACATAGTGAAGCATAGGTGTCAAATACCACATATATAGAAAACATTCCATTATGTGACATTGTCTTGCAATTCAACTGCTTCCAAATTCAACCATATATAGTCCATCAAGGGATGAGGGTCAAATAGAAGAAGGGCAGCACCTGTACCTCCCCACATCCTCTAATTGATTGATGAATGGCTGTTATTTGCAGCTTGTATCAGCATTCACAACAAGAAATTTGGGAATTATGCAACAAGCGCTTTGGGAATTTTATTATTCTTGACTGCTTACAGGTTTTTTAGATGGCAATGCATTACTGTATTTAGGAAACCTGGTTGAAGAAACTTGGCTCTTGATGTTGAGTTTCAATGTTCTTTGAGAAGCACAGAAGTGCATCAGGAATTTACTTGTATAACTATGATTTATATGTTTCTTATGTCTGCCATGCAAGTCCTCATGCAGCAGCAACACACAGCATCCATTCAAAATGAAATACAGTCAACCCCTGTCTAACAGACTTGATTTGTGCAAGGGACGAGTCTGTTAGACAAAAAGTCCTTTACACAAATTCAATTGCATAAAAAATTAAAAATTTCAATTGTCAACACTAATTTTAAACCAATAGAAGTCTGTTTGGTGGATTTTGTTGGTTGGGTGGGAGGAAAAACTGCACAAATTCAATTGCATAAAAAATTAAAAATTTCAATTGTCAACACTAATTTTAAACCAAAAGAAGTCTGTTTGGTGGATTTTGTTGGTTGGGTGGGAGGAAAAACTGCTTGCAAAGCTGGTCTGTTTGGCAAAAATCCCTTACATGGGAGGTCTGTTAGGCAGGGGGCCACTGTACATACCAGTACAATTATAAATGTATGAATAATAGATTGGCATCCTTTTTCCCCAAAAAATATTCACAACATAAGGCAATTAGTGAGCACAATTAAACAAAGGTATTCAGCCAGGTGTCCAGCAGATAATTATCAATTGATAGAACAATTTAGAATGAATCTTTTTCTATATGTAAAATACTTTTCAAGTTCCATTCTGAAATCATTTATAGGAAAAATGCATCAAGACCCCTCCTCATAACTCCAAGGCATTCCTCTGCAAAGCTCCATTTTACTAGAATTTCCTGGAGGTGTTTATGACTATTTTGTATTGTCACAGAAAAAAGCAAAGCAATGCAATGTGTTACAATGATTTTTGTGCAAGGAAGTGATCAATAGATTCATTTGGCAAATTAACGCTTGCCTCCAAGTTCATATCATTCTGTCAACTCATTCAAGAAGTAATTTAATACTTCATGTATGAGTAGAATATCACCAATTCCAATTTATTGTGAGTCTTTCTTTCCCTCAGCAAAAATACTTGTTTTCCTGGGTCGAAAGATTTTTGCAGGTCCCTTCTAAGAATTTGACTTTGGATGAGAGGGTTGACTGTACTTCTGGAAGCATCATCATCATGAACAAAAAATTACATACAAGGAAAAATGTCATTGCAATTTCCTAGAATCTATCTTGATATATCCTACAAACTGCTTTCTCTGTAACTCAAAACCTCCTAAATTAAATTTTTTTGTGCTGGTCCTTTCAAATGGGACTCAAAGGGTTCTGTAACAACAATAATAATAATGTGTAAGTACAAAATTTGTGTTGATTTTCTCGTTTCTCGTTCATTAGTTACTTATTTGTTTCAACCCGGAAGCGATAAATAAGCAGCGCGCGGCGGAATTAATTTCCGGCGGCATCCCTGCATTGCGCACAAAGCATGGAATGTGAGGAATGCGTCGTCAATTTGGCCACCATGCAGCAAAGCATGCGAGTTTTCTCCGTGCATGCAGCAGGTGAATTGGCAAAATAAGATTGCTGCTGCTGAATGCTGGTTTTTTGGCGCACAAAAAAAAGTCCTGCACTTCCTGCTCATATATTGTGTGCTGCTTTCTGTATGAGTATGCTGATTACAGTGGCTTTCGAGGATTTTCCTTCAGAATTGACTCACTTCTAAAAAGATGCCACTCAGAATAAATGAAATAAATGTTGAATTGCACATGTAATGCACAGTATGAATAAACATTATAGAAAAAGTCTGGAAATATTTTTTTTTTTTGTGCAGAGAAAAATATCTCCTGCAGCTTTTTGAATATGCATTTTGATAACTGAAAGCTGAGAGGTGTCTGTACCACAAACAGCATCCCTCTCCTCTAGTATATAGTGACCAAGTATTGATGTAAATGGAGTGCCTCTCTACTATAAATGACCTGAGTTTCTTCAACCCTTGACTGAATGGTTTGCAATTCAAATGTACAGATTCTACCAAGTGTTCAATCATTTTTGGAATAAGGCAAAAGAAACTCATTTAATGGGGGGGGGGGGGGGGGGGGTCTAACAAGTATTCTNCCTAATCCATTGCCGATTTATGGTTGAGTTGCAATGTGGTCAAATTGCAAGACACTTCTTGAAATTCAAAAATATCAGTACAAAAATGCAAAAAAGTTGCCAAAGCAGGTCAAGGGTCAAGTGCTAGTCAACCTTCCTGCAAAATGATACCGTTGAATTGCAGGATGGTCAAATTGTGGTATGTCATACTGCAAGGTACCACTCCTGTATACAGGTGGTATACCTCACAACTTGACAACCCCGCAATGTGATGGTTGAATTTCCTGGGAGGTCAACTTGCAATTCAATGTCTATGACCCAACAATTCAACCCACATAGTGAAGCATAGGTGTCAAATACCACATATATAGAAAACATTCCATTATGTGACATTGTCTTGCAATTCAACTGCTTCCAAATTCAACCATATATAGTCCATCAAGGGATGAGGGTCAACTAGAAGAAGGGCAGCACCTGTACCTCCCCACATCCTCTAATTGATTCATGAATGGCTGTTATTTGCAGCTTGTATCAGCATTCACAACAAGAACTTTGGGAATTATGCAACAAGCGCTTTGGGAATTTTATTATTCTTGACTGCTTACAGGTTTTTTAGATGGCAATGCATTACTGTATTTAGGAAACCTGGTTGAAGAAACTTGGCTCTTGAAGTTGAGTTTCAATGTTCTTTGAGAAGCACAGAAGTGCATCAGGAATTTACTTGTATAACTATAATTTATATGTTTCTTATGTCTGCCATGCAAGTCCTCATGCAGCAGCAACACACAGCATCCATTCAAAATGAATTACAGTCAACCCCTTTCTAACAGACTTGATTTGTGCAAGGGACAAGTCTGTTAGACAAAAAGTCCTTTACACAAATTCAATTGCATAAAAAATTAAAAATTTCAATTTTCAACACTAATTTCAAACCAAAAGAAGTCTGTTTGGTGGATTTTGTCTGTTGGGTGGGAGGAAAAACTGCTTGCAAAGCTGGTCTGTTTGGCAAAAATCCCTTACGTGGGAGGTCTGTTAGGCGGGGGGTCACTGTACATACCAGTACAATTATAAATGTATGAATAATAGATTGGCATCCTTTTTCCCCAAAAAATATTCACAACATAAGGCAATTAGTGAGCACAATTAAACAAAGGTATTCAGCCAGGTGTCCAGCAGATAATTATCAATTGATAGAACAATTTAGAATGAATCTTTTTCTATATGTAAAATACTTTTCAAGTTCCATTCTGAAATCATTTATAGGAAAAATGCATCAAGACCCCTCCTCATAACTCCAAGGCATTCCTCTGCAAAGCTCCATTTTACTAGAATTTCCTGGAGGTGTTTATGACTATTTTTTTATTGTCACGGAAGAAAGCAAAGCAATGAAATGTGTTACAATGATTTTTGTTCAAGGAAGTGATCAATAGATTCATTTGGCAAATTAACGCTTGCCTCCAAGTTCATATCATTCTGTCAACTCATTCAAGAAGTAATTTAATACTTCATTTATGAGTAGAATATCACAAATTCCAATTTCTTGTGAATCTTTCTTTTCCTCAGCAAAAATACTTGTTTTCCTGGGTCAAAAGCTTTTTGCAGGTCCCTTCTAAGAATTTGACTTTGGATGAGAGGGTTGACTGTACTTCTGAAAGCATCACCATCATGAACCAAAAATGACATACAAGGAAAAATGTCATTGCAATTTCCTAAAATCTATCTTGATATATCCTACAAACTGCTTTCTCTGTAACTCAAAACCTCCTGAATTCAATTTTTTTGTGCTGGTCCTTTGAAATGGGACTCAAAGGGTTCTGTAACAACAATAATAATAATGTGTAAGTACAAAATTTGTGTTGATTTTCTTGTTTCTCGTTCATTAGTTACTTATTTGTTTCAACCCGGAAGCGATAAATAAGCAGCGCGCGGCGGAATTAATTTCCGGCGGCATCCCTGCATTGCGCACAAAGCATGGAATGTGAGGAATGCGTCGTCAATTTGGCCACCATGCAGCAAAGCATGCAAGTTTTCTCCGTGCATGCAGCAGGTGAATTGGCAAAATAAGATTGCTGCTGCTGAGTGCTGGTTTTTTGGCGCACAAAAAAAAAGTCCTGCACTTCCTGCTCATATATTGTGTGATGTTTTCTGTATATGCATGCTGATTACAGTGGCTTTCGAGGATTTTCCTTCAGAATTGACTCACTTCTAAAAAGATGCCACTCAGAATAAATGCAATAAATGTTGAATTGCACATGTAATGCACAGTATGAATAAACATTATATAAAAAGTCTGGAAATATTTTTTTTTCTTTTTGTGCAGAGAAAAATATCTCGTGCAGCTTTTTGAATATGCATTTTGATAACTGAAAGCTGAGAGGTGTCTGTACCACAAACAGCATCCCTCTCCTCTAGTATAGTGACCAAGTATTGATGTAAATGGAGTGCCTCTCTACTAAATGACCTGAGTTTCTTCCACCCTTGACTGAATGGTTTGCAATTCAAATGTACAGATTCTACCAAGTGTTCAATAATTTTTGGAATAAGGCAAAAGAAACTCATGTAATGGGGGGGGGGGGGTTTGTCTAACAAGTATTCTGTGAGCCAACTGTTGCTGTCACAATGGCACAGGCATCCTCCAACAAACCAAGCTCTGAGGACTTCCTCAATGCACAAGAGGACTCCATCAATCCTGATTCACCATGGAACTGCCTCACCAAATCAACCTTCCTTCAATACTTCCTCCACCCAGAATCCCCCTTGCCCATGCATGCACCAGCACCACCTGACAGGACTACATTGATGTCCTCCAAGCTCAAGGTATTTTTCCAAATTATGGCTTTCTAAATATACTCCTCTGTCACCATCCCCCATATGGTACCTTGGGGAAATCCACCTCCCATGCCAACAATTGACCTCCCTTGAGAGCATTTATATGTCAACAAGGACATCAATGCCTATCTCTATGGCACGCTCTCAAAATTTTCAACCACAAAAACACATCCCAAGGCTCTTGTGTCTCTATTGCCTTATCACAGTTATCAGCATGATACAAGCCAACCTTGCTTCCTCAGCAAACACACTGTCTGATTGTCCAATCTTATACCTTTGAAACCGGCCTTGCCACAGCGCTCTCTGCTCAATTCACAATATCTCAATTCAAACTTTTCCAGCAGTTCCAAACCATCATAAACTCCTTGCAGCCAAAACCTACATTAACTTGGGGTACTGCCTCAAGCAGATCTAGTGTACCTGAAATACCTTGCCATCCTGGAGGCTTTGCACAACATACATGAATACCAGTACAGTATATACAGATTGTACCAAATGTTCAATCATTTTTTGGAATAATAAAGCATGAAGGCAATAGGAAGCTCTTATTCTCATCAGTATCAGCACAAGACAACATTGGAGGTATTTCCTAGACTAAAATATCAAGATGGACAGCTGTATCATAATTGTTTTATTAATTCTGAAGGGTATACAGTATATCATAATGTGCGCCTGCTTTCTCACCTTATACGTCAATGAAGTTTAATTTGATGAGAAAATGCCCATATGCTGCCCTGTATATCCTCGAAAAACCTGATGATGGAGCGAAATAAAGCAACTGTAAGCACATCCTTTAATGCATGCATCTTGAACTGATGTACTGTAATATACTTGTCAAAAATGCAGACAAATACTGTATTGTAATGTAACACATAGAATTTGTGGATTATGTGGACTATAGGGAGTGGCTCCTGTGGAGTTGCCGGCTGTGCAACGGATCCACTGCAAATGGTGGTATGTCAGCCTCCTGCCCGCATGGAATTCAGCAACAGCGAGCCGCGGAACACGAGTCCATTGGTTGGAAATGCAGAGAGCAATAATACAGGAATGTGATTGCGTGAGTGAAGGTTTCTTCGTTATCTCATGTTGGAAATCGTCTCTGGAACGTCCGAAGTTCCTGTAAAAAGTAGGTCTTGAATGAATATAGAGTCTAAACATCTTCGGCTGAAAATATGAGCTGGATTGAGAATCACGCTTATTGAGATTCCTCGGATCAATTTGTTTCACCGATCAGTGGTGTGACTTCTTTGTGTAATCTTCGTTTCAATAATCCTATGTGGGTTCTGTTCCTCTTGCAGGAGTTTGAGAAATATCTCAGATGATCGACAGCCATGGACGAGCAGCTTCCTGGACCGCATGCGGAAGAATGTGCCATCCGCGCAGATCTCAAGACGAGAGGCGAGAAATGCCGGAGCTACATCGAAATGGTAAAGTTCCGCGATGAGAAGGCGGTTGAGGATGTGGAAGAAAAGAAATTCATCGACGCCTTGCCCGATCGGCAAGACCAAGAAACCCCGTACGATCAGTTAAGCTACTCGTGCGGCGACGCTTTTTTTGCTTTATACGCGATTTTTACTCTGCTCGCGGACATGGTGACGGATATTTCGGTAGCGTACATGTTCTGGCTTCACGGGAAGCACGAGTATTTCATTGCGATGGTTGTATTTATTGGTGTTCCTGCCGTCATGTTGACGGGGACTGGCCTGCGATGGTACGTTGTCGACATGGAGAACCCTAGGGTTCCTCCTGCGAGTATGACGAGATGGGCTGTACGCGTTGTTTTCCTTTTGCTACAAATTGGTCCAGTGTTGAGGTGAGATACAAACCATTGAATCGTGCGACTCCATTCGATGTACTCATACCATCTCCGTTAACTGTGCAGGTATGTAGATTCCCTCAGATTAGGAATGTTGTTCAGGAAGCAGAGAAAGAAGCACGGGTGCGAGCTGACGTTGAAAGACGTCACAAAGGAAGGTGTAGTGCACGAATGTGCCATCACTTACAGATTAATGCTGCAGGAAGACTCCGACGCTACGTTTCTGCGGCTCTTCGAAGCATACTTGGAAACTGGTCCACAGTTGATGCTTCAGGCGTACATACTCCTGCATGCCGTTTACAATGATGACGTTGATGAAAATCTCGGTGAATAAAAGCGTCGGAGAAATTATCGCGCATGTCGACATTTTGACGCCTGTGTTTTCTTCGTTCAGCCAAGGTTCAACTGGTTTCCATCTTCTCATCTTTATTGAGCTTGGCGTGGGCACCGGTGTCGTATTACCGCACTGTTCGTCTCAGTTCAGCGGGGAAGGCGACGATGAACTGGAGTTCGACGATAGTGAGCGTGCTGTGGCAACTTTGCTTTTTGAGTATGTCGCCTGTAGTGATTCTGATTTCCTTTGTGTTTAACGTGTGAGTGATTTTCATCGCAGGTTCTCGGTGTCTTGCCCTATCGTTGTTCGCCGCTAAATTCAACGAGTGGGTGTTTGTACCCTTATCAGTGCACATAGTGGTGATGATTATTTGGGCGAAGTTCATGGACACGGATCTGTGCAAGACCAAGTGGGAAGAAGCCTTGCTCATCCTCATGTTGTCCCTTGCTTACACGTTCTCCTTCTTCAATCCCAAGGAGGAGCGTACCCGGTATAAGCACATGTTCTTCTACGTTGTTTGCTTTCTGGAGGACTCGATCCTGATGATGATTTGGTTGTTTCACGAGGACAGCGAGCACAAGTTGTCGTATAGTTTCAAGTACGGTCCGTTCGCCGGCGTGTACGTTTCTTTCGCCATGTCCTTGTTGTTCATGTATTGTTATTATTCGTGGTGCCACCCGACCGGGAATATCAGACCGTTAATTGGCAAAGGGTGCAGGAAGCACGTGTCTGATAACGCAGTCCGTCCGAACGAGCAAAAACGGGGAACTTGCGTGGAGGAAATTGCGATGGACAAAGCGGGGGCGTTTTCTGTGTAAAACTTGCTTTAGTGACGTCCTTGTTATCAGTGTTGTTATTTCGATACTCCTGGTTCCAGTGTGGTTTTTTGTTTTGTGATGGGTACTTGGTTCTGTGATGATAACGAAGGTCGTGAGTGAGTCTCCTGATGCAGAACTTTTTTGTGCCTGTTGGAAAAAAATCCGTATTTGCTATTTTTTCGCTCTGTGTAACGCTAGACGACGACCACCCCGTTTCATTATTTTGTCGTACTTTGTAATAAAAACGAAGTCTTTTTTGTTTTGCCAGTGAATTCCGAGTCTAATGGTTTGTGAGTGTCTGTTAATCAAGTCAGCTTCTGTTACACCCAGTAGGAACTTCACGAACAAGCAGTTTAAAAGAGTGCAGTGAATCCAGTCAAAAGTGTGTTCCCAGAATTCATGGTACGGTGTTGAGAAGACAGTGGGAACAATGCACTCGGGCTCGTGGCAGTTGAATTCGTATCGCAGTGATGCGGAGGATTCTTTCGCGGGATCGAGAATTCAATTTCCTCGACTGGGAATTGACCAAACGAGGGGTGAGAACTTGATTTGAAGATTCCATTTTGCAAATCGAGGTACAGTATGTTCGTTATGATTTCACCAGGACCGATTGGTCGGCAAATGGAACGCGTTATGATTTCCGAAAGAAGTTTGGATGACAGTGTCTCGAACATGCTACACCCCTGCGATGCTCTATTTCAAAATTTCCACGACGCAGTGAAAGAGCTTTCGTCGAGCTTTTGTATTTTGCCGCTGTTGGAGAAATTTGTCAAGTTTTGCGACGATGCGCTGAAGCAACTGCGGTCTTCGCATTTTCGCGTCGCCATTTCTGAGCAAGAGAGTCGCTCTTTATCCGAAGTACGGGACCTTTTCCTGTCGGGAATATTCAATTTTATTCAAGTGTATACGGTACATGTTTCATGCTTGTAATCCAGATTGAAAACCACCTGTTGAAAGAGAGAGCAGTTTGGCGCTTGCTTCGATTGCTCATTGGTGAGCAAATGGATTTGGAGCGGCCTTCGTGTCCGACTGAGTTCAGGGTGGATGAATCTACCTTGCTCGCAATGAAGGTGAGTTGCCCTGCTTTAAGATTCACGCCTTTTGAATTCATTCGAGAAAAGCTAACGCGAGTTGATGCCATTGAATGTTTGTCAGAATATCTAGGCTGCCAGTTTCAAAATGTCGGGATTGAGGTTGTGTATTGTTACGCATTCGTATATTTTCGAATGAACTTTTCATCAAATTTATTGATTCTTGAGTGAATTTTGAATCTTTTTGGAGTGATTCAATCGAAAATACGGAAACTGAACTCCTCTCAATTTGTCGCCACCATTTTATTTCCTATTATTCTCAGGCGACACTCGATGACACTGGTCTAGATGCTGATCTACAAAGCCTCGAGTACGCGAGTGAAAAAATGTATGTTCATCATCGCTTTCTGGTTGACGCCGACGTGCGAAAAGTAAGCGAAGTAACAAATGTTCATCCCATAGTTGTACGATGTTTAGTTCTTTTTATAACTGTTTGTAGGCGCACAATATCGTCAAATGGCTGGAGGAGTGGAAGAAAATCGCGAGTCCCGAGATTGAAAATGAGCTTCGTTATTTTGCAAACGCGGGTGAGTGGTTGTTGTTCATGTGTTCTTTTTCGTCATGAGACGCAGTTGAACAAGTCTTCATGTAGTAAAATCTCTTCACAACGCACCTATGAAAGACTTCAGAAAAAGTTTGTCCTTGTGGAAACTTTTTTTTGAAACATTTTCAAAATTAATGATTGGAAAAATTTTCACATCCGACCTCCCTAAAATAAGTTAGGCCTTGCTTTTCCGGCATTCTCAGATTTTTTTTATTATTGTTTGGAAAACTTGGTGATCTTATGAAAAGAAAATGAGCTCAGCTCATGCGTTCCATCAGTTGCACCATTCTCTTCATTCTGGGAGGATGATGAGTGAAATCACTTGGAAGCATGTTTGTCATTATTGACAGCTTATAAGAACCAGTTTCCTCAAATTTTGAATCAGAAATTTCAGGCTGTGACTTCCTTTGTCAGGAAATCTCTACCTGTGAAAAGTATGTTTAACTGGAATTGGGAAGTTTGCTTTAAAGAGAGTGCTTTAACATTTATTTTACGTGCTTTCTGCTCGGATTTGAAAAAAGTTCCTTGTACTGAAAAAAAAATTTTTAATGTAATTTTGATTACATGAAGGAGTTCTATGGGAAAGCACCCTTGTTTATCTGAAGGCGTTGAAAGCGTCAAACGAAATCATATCCGAAATGGATCCAGATGCCCCGTCACGTCAGAAGAAAACTCCTTTGGCTCAGGATCTGGTTCGTTGCGTGAATTGAAGGGTTTTTGTGTGTTGTTTTTTCTTCATTCATGACTGTGGGAAAATGTGTGATTGTTCACAGGATGACCAAAAGAAGCTGACTGGTCTTCTAGTCCACTTCTTGAGAACGGGAGAACTTACTTTGTATGAGAAGCTCTGTCATTACGTTGGTCAGCCATGGAGGATGTCGGTGTTGTTGGGCAGCGAGTACTGTCATGATCCGAATTACTACAATGTTGATTCCACTATTTTACTCCCTGTGGAAGGGAATCCAAGCCGGTGTGTATTGTTTTTTCTTCCGTTGAATCTCTTGAAGTCATACTTCAAGGAACCAGCAAAAGGAAAAACTCGAGTTTTGGAAACAAACATTTTTATCGGGGAAAGAAAAGAAGAATCGCAGACAAATTTTAATCGGTGATATTCTTGGTCTGAAATTGCTTTTTGAATGAGTTTAAAATCCTGACTCAATGATTTATATGCATGTACTTTTTCCTTGGCTGATGAAGTGAATCACTCACTCATTCATGTGTGGCAATATCCAAGCAGCTTTCCATGGCTTTGTTCATCCCAGGGAAAAATGTTTTGAAAAAATTATGACTGTTTCAGTTATGTTTGGAAAAACTCAAATACTGGAAGATTTTTCGGGAAAAGCATTTTCAAGTCACAGTTCTCCTGGTCAAATTTGAAGGGACCAGCGAAAAAAAAAATGAGCTGGAAGGTTTTGAGTTTGGGAAACAAGCATGTTTTGTTGTGGGAAGCATAGAAGCATTGCAGAATTTTTATTTATTTTTTCTTGATATTCTGGGCCTTGAATTGTTTTTTGAATGAGTTGATTGAGTTGCGAAATTTGAAAGCAAGAGTTCATTTGCTCAATTAGTCTCTTACTTCCTTTCGAAACGCATCAAGTTAAATTTTTTTTATTACTTTTTCTCGTTCCTGTGTACATTAAATAATAGCCAAAAGGCTCCCAGAAAATTCGGTATATGGAGGAAAGGTTTTGATTTACATTTTTTTCTGAGGGAAATGCTGAAGAGCACTTTGAAAATGTTCGACGTATGGTGAGGTATCCGAGTTATTAAGGTTCAACTTTGAAATCCATGCTGACCTGTTTTATGACTCTGATTTCGTTTTTTTTTTTAGTGTTGGTTGGAAAGCTGCGACTTTTGCCGCAGCCGAAGACGTCAAGGTTTTCGAGGGGGATCGTTTGCTTTGTGCCATTGCTTCGGGCCATCTGCACGAGGTGCTTGGTTTCGTAACGAACTGGGAAGACGCCGTTTGGTCGTATTTCCGATGTCTGCAGGACCAGATTTTGGAGAAGGAGATCGAGGAGAACGTTTGTTCGGAAAGTGCGGATTTCCAGCTGCCCAGCGCGTATTGGAAAAATAAGTTGGTTTTTTTTTTTTTTTATACTGCATATTGTTGTACTGACCTGGAATTCCGCATTGATAGTTTTTCTGCCAAGTCGATCTTCGCGGAAATTGAGGCGTCGCCCAAGCTGCAAATCCGCGAAGAAGCAGCGGATCCCATGCGTCTTCTGATGAAAGCGTTCATTTTGAACGACGCCGAATCGTTTGCTTGCTTGCAGAAATTCAGTGATCTTGCTCAAGATGCTCAAATGAAGCGGTTCCTGGCTCATCTCGCCATATTGCTCAAGTCGACGGGAATGGGAAGCTTTGTGGACAGAGCATTTATTGACGCTGCCTTGGCAGATTACCTTGAGGTGCATATCAAAAGGCAGCGAGCAAACATTTTTGCTTTCTTATCTAGTTTTGTGATGATTACAGTAATACCGTATATCATTACAACAAATACGAATCCACAAGACGTTTGACAATCTTTTCTTCAAGTCCTGTGAAGAACACCTGAGTAAATGCTGAAACAATCTTGTTATGATGAACTTTCCAATTCCAGTGTAACCATTTTATAAGGAATGTTCAATGAATTCTGCAGGTTTAAGTTTTGTGACGAAGGCAGGCACAGTTGGAAATTTTTGATTCAAAATGTGACCAAGTATTTCTTGTGTCATGGATGGAAGTTGTGATCAATGACAATCATGCCTTCAAGTGGTTCTTCACATCATCCATCTAGAATGAAGAGATTGGTGCAACTCATGGAACACATGATTAGAGCAAATTTATTTTAAAAAGATCACTCAATTTTTGTGGCAAATATTTGAAAACACTGAAAATGCAAGAAAAGCAAGGTCTAACTATAGAGTGGTCCAATGTGAACATTTTTTCAGTATAGAATGACAAAAAAAGTGTATCACTTTTTATGAAGTCCCCAGAAGTTTGTTGTGATGAGATTTTACTGTATACACGTGTATTGATATGTATGGGGTATGTGCAATGTACAGTCAGAGTTGCTTGATGGGACCAAATTGGGCCACAGGCTTTCTGTTCTTATTGGGCAGATGGTCCCAGTAAACATCCCCACTTGTATGCTGTTATGCTGTGAGACCATTGTGGCATGTGATGATGGTGTCATAGCGTTGTGACATGATGTCAAGGGGTGTTCCCCAACCTGTGGTCTGCAGACCAGTGCTGGTCTGCAGAAGTTTTTTGGTGGTCTGCAGGAAATTTTCTCCAGTCTAATGAATTTTCCAAAACTAGCAGTGAAGGATATTGAAACTAGTATCTTTATGTCAAATTTTGGCAAGACAATAGCAGTTAAAATTATCTGATGAAAAATAGACCTTTGCTTTTCTCCTATAATACTTCAAAAAAAATGTTTACCTCATGAAAAAAACTATTCTATTTTTTTCACATTAGATAGCAGAAGCTTTTCGAATACCGTACCTGCCATTCAAGCTGTCTTTCAAGCACAACTTTTTTGAGCCTGTAAAGATTTTATGAAAATCTGCTGGCCTTTGGAAGATTTCATGAAATTTGCTGGTCTGCAAACAATTTTATGGAAATGTAATGGTCCGTGGGAACAAAACGGTTGAGGAACACTTATGTAAAGAGCCTTGACAGTGTTGTGGAACTGTTGTGGCTTAATCATACAGAATGTGTGAACTTTGGTCGAATTAAGCAGAGTCTTGGACTTAAAAATGAGTGACTAAAAGTTCAATCATTTTAAGGGGCTTGTTTCTGTCCTAGACAATTTGGTCAAATTAGAAGCTGGTCCCATTAACTGGTGGTCCAATGAACCAACTTCAACTTATGTGTATATCTGTTTCAATTTTCCTCTGTGAAGTCCCTGACCTTGAGGGAAATCCGCAAGCAGTATTTCTTGTGAGTTCAATCACAATTTTCCTCTGATTTCGAGTATCTAGAAATTCAGATTGCATCTTATTTGAGCGCTAAATTCCTAGGAAAGAACTCTGAACTTATTACTTTCTTCAAGTCAGAAACCTCCTGAATCAATTTTCTTGTTGGTCCCCGTGAGTTATACTTCGAGAGGTGGTGACTCTGAAGTATTTTGAGAGGAATTATCAGATTCAAATGCAGTTAAATTGTTCCTTCTTCTCCGAAAGTTCGTAGTAACGATATTTTACTGTAATTTTTCAAAATTCTAGGTGCTTGTGTCTCATGGAAGCGTAGACCAGGTGTTGTTCTACATCACGGCCATGTCGACGGAGCAGCGGAAAGAAGATGCGCTGAGTCAGTTCATGAAGAAATTCTGCGGAGGATCAGAGTCGAGGCAGTTGCTGATTCGGTCTGCTGAACAATTGGGACTGGATGGACGAGAGGCGGCGAGACGAGTGGTGGAGGAAACTCGACGGGATTGCAGAGCTGAGGCCGGTGTCGACTCGCTGCTACAGAGACAAGCCCCCGCTGTTGATTTCCTGCGAGTCTTTGTCGGGCTGAAGGTGTGCGAATGCGGCTTTTGTGTTTTAGTCAATTTTGTGTAACGCTATTTATTTTTTTTGTGGGGTGTCAGGTCGTGGAGAAGGATTTGGAGAGGATAAGTGCTTTGGACTGGATAATTATGGAAGATGATGATCCGTTGCGAGCTGCGAAAGAAGTGAATGCTCTGGCGCGGTGTTTTCTGCTGCAGAAGAACGTTCGAGCTGCCAAGTTATCTTTGGACAAGGTATTCGAGGCTTTTTGCGAATTTGAAGACATTTTTCATGTGTGTCGATTTCGGAAAAATTTCCTCTTGCTTTCGATATACTATCGTCAGTTTTTGTTTGGATAATTCAGCGAGCGTTATTCTGGGTTATTTTTTGGTTAGTTGAGGTTAAATTATCAGGGTTTTAGTGATCTAGGTGACGCCTGATGATCGAGAAAAAATCCTCTTTTTTTCTTTATTTGCTAGCTGGCTTTGTCTGCTGCCGAATGTCTGTCTCCGAGGACACGTGGGACAGGAACTATGGACAACACTGCTGTCATTATTTGCGAAGAAGAAAACCATTTGCGGGAGTCCGAAGCTCTACAGTTGCTTATTGTAAGTTTTTTTTTTTCCTTTCCGCAATTTCCGGTTTTTTGGGTAATTCGGCGGAAAGAAGCAATTTGCCAAGTGCAGTACAACGGAATCCCAGGGACTGTAGGAAAGATTCGTTGTAACGAAATTCGTGGTTTTTTGATCACTCAACGCAGAAATGTTGTAAGAAATAAGGAATGATTGAGTTTGAATACGGCCAAGACACATGTTTGAACATTGACCGCATGTCCAACTTCATTCGGTGGAATATTCAGTAAAATTCAAGTTTTGAAATACGATTCTTATTCATTGAGAACTGAAAGTTGTTTGAAATAGAGCAGCATCCGTCCAAAGATACTTTTCTTCCAAAAAAAGCCTATTAATTCTAAAATGAAGCTGATTAAATTCTGATTGTAGCTAACTTTTTTACAAAAAGATTAGAGCATTTATATTTTTGAAGGTTTTTCGATCATACACAAGTTGGGTCTTCCCAAATTTTACTAAATTTTTTGTATGGGCCATGCGCACATGGTTCAGGCGGAAATTCTTTCTACTGAGTGAAATCTGTTCGTTACAACGAATTTTTTGTAGCATGGTCCCTACTATGAAGAAATTGCCAGAACCAAGAAGAAATTTCGTTGTATCGAGTAATTCGTCGTGAGGATATTCGTCGTAACGGACTGTCACTTTTTTCTAGTTTGACAATGCGTACATTTTATATTTCAGGTTGCATTTGACGAATACGAAGCCTGGTCCCACACTGTCAACGTAGTCGTTGGGCCAACACCGGCCGAGGACAATTACGACAAGTACAGCACGCACAAGCACGCCATTTTGGACGTGCTCCGACGCATTGTCAACTTCCGCTTTGGCTGGCTCGAAGACCGCGTGTCTGATGATGACAACAATAACGCAGAAACGGATGGTGCTGGAGACGAGGAGGAGGAGGAAGAAGACGAGGATGCGAAGACCAGAAAGGCGGAGCTGGTTGCAGTCAAGAAAGTGTACTTCCCCGTGGTTCTGCGCATGTTCACTGAAGTTTTGTCCAAACAGTATCCCGGTGTGGAAGCCAGCAACAAGAACGAGGCGCTGAAAAACTGCGATGTCATGTGGGACATTGCCATTTCCTTTCTGCACGTCAACGATCTTTTCCAAGTGCGACAATTTAGTTTTTTTTACGCTTGCTTCGAGATGTGTACAGTAATTCTTTTTTTTTTTGCAGTACGTGTCCTTGGAAAACCTGGATGCCTTTAAATCTAGCTTGATCTCGAAAGCTGTGGAAGTAGGGAACCTCAATTGTGGCTTTTTCGGCTTCGGCGAAGACGTGGAAGCCGAGTTGTTTGATTGGCAGTCCAAGCAGAAAGAAGACGGCGACGAAGATGCGATGGAGCTTTGATTACGTTCAAGCAATTGTGTGAATGGGGTTTTTTTTCAATACGTGTTTTTTTTCGGCGTCACTCTTTTTTTTCATTTATTGCTCGAGGAAATAAGTGCTGTGTTCTTATTTCAGAGATTGGGAAGAGTGGTTCGGGAAAGAGTGTGTTCCGGAGACGCCGTGAAGCGCGTGCTCTGCAAAAAAAAAAAAAATGACGTCGTCCTCGGGAGGTGGAATGGGCGACGGCGGTCAGGACACGTGGCAGTTGCGGTTGACGGCGGTGACGCTGACGACCGGCGAGAAAGTGTTTATTCAGCGTGACTACACGGAAGGCACTGGTGTGAAGTTTGAAACGCGATTCCCGCAAGAACTCGAGGGGAAGGTGTGTGCATTATTGTTTTTTTCTATTGCTCGTCCGCGCGTAGAATGTTCATTTGAAACGAAACGTCCTTGCAGATTGATCGGCAAGTCTTTGAAGACGCCATCAACGAAATCAACTCGGTGTTTGCAGAAGCGGAGCACTTGTCGTGCTCGTCCTGTTTAAGTGGGTGTTTGGCGTGCTTAACGGGATATTTCACGCTGTGTTGTATGGAAACTCACTACGAGAAGGTTTGCGATGGATTTTTTTTTTAATTCATTTTTTTAATACCTGCGTGTTTTATTTTTTCAGTGCTTGAAAAAGGTTAGTCGTTTGATTTATCGTCGGAATGAACGAGATTTTATACCGAAGGGACTGATGCTCGGGGAGCCGGTCGAACGCGCTTTACGAGTGGTGAGTTTCTTTTTGTTTTCATGTGACCCTTTCTTGATGAACGTCGTGTATTGTTGTCAGATTGAAATCACTATCCTCAATACCAGCACCGTGACATAGAATCCGAGGATTGCGTGCGTGTTGGCCTTGTGCATTGGCGGAAATAAAAAAAAAAGGTGGGCCGAGTCTTTTGCTTGTGTTGTTGTCGTCGTCGTCGTCATCATCGTCTACCCGAGCGAAGCAAAAGCAAGAATTCGAGGGGTCCCTGGAAGTTGCATCGAATCCGTTGCTGGGTTCTGACTGACTTGTTGCTGTGCACCGGTGACAGGAATGAAAAAAAAAATGTGGGGGTGGGTGGTTGGTTGGAGTGTGGATGCTTTCCTACTGCGAGTCTTCGTACATGTGGCAAAAGTGAATGACGGAAATGGATGTACGAATGCGATTTTTCCACAAGTCTCTGCGTACCCTACTCTTCTGACAGTTGTCACCTCTTCACGTCGAATTGTTTTCGAGTCCCCGATACAAGAAGAACCTCGTGAATTCGAAGAGTTCTTCGTCATGAGTCGAATTCTTTGAAGGCTATTGTTTCATTGACACAGGAAAGCAATAACGCGTGTAACTTTATGGGTTTTGGAAAGAAGTGAAAGACTAAAGTGGGCAAGTGAACCTTTGAATCAAAGATCTTGAATTTCACCGATTACAATTGCCTGTAATTCTTCCTTCTTTTCCCCCGACAAAAGTGCGAGTTTTCTTAACTCTACTTTATTTTTCTGCTGGTTCCTTTGAAGTTCGACTTGAAGATGTTCGACTGTATTTCTCATGTGTTATTTCAATTTCAAATCTTTCTCGCTGAGTATTTTTGTTTTTGTGTCCTATTTTAAAAGTCTGTGACTGGGATTTTCGTGTTTGTAGTGTGCGGATTGACGAGTGATCGATTTGTTTTGAAATACGGGAAGCCTGCGCAGCTGGGTTGTGAACGTTGTTCGTCCGGTCGGCGTTAGCGTGATTATCATAGGTGAGAAAACCATTCTTGAAAGTGTTTCTTCTATTAGTCAGTCGTGTGTTCTGTTCATATCCCTTTGTAGTGACTTGTTGGGATTCGTGTTGTGGTTATTTTCGGATGCGTTCTTCTTTCGGAATGTGGCGTCTCGGCATTGAAATGTGGTCGATTTTACACGCGGAGAAATGGATGACCGGGATCTGGAGACGACGTTGTCCATTTGTCATCGTCGTGTTTCCGGAGGGCTAATGGAAATCATTTCGTGGAAAGGGAAGCGAGTGAGTTTGACGTCGTCGTCGTCGTTATTCCTTTCGGTGAACAAGATGATTTTTCAAATTTTTTTATTCATACATTCTAAATCGATGAGATGTACAGAAAATTCTTCTTCCCATCAAAGGCAGTTGTGAAGCAGTGAATCTCTTTTTAATTGGTTTGGGCTAGAATTCACGTGTGTGTCACCGAGTTTTTTGTTGCACCGGCGGGTGAATCCTATCGTGTTGTGGTTTTAATCATTAACCAATTTCAGGAGCATTTGCATCTTTTTGACAAAAAAAGTGAGCTTCAAAATCTGCCTTGAGGTGTATTCATACAAAATGTTTGAGGGATTTTCACGTTGTGTGTGGTTTCAAGTCCGTCATTTCATCCCCATCCCTGACCATATTTTATTCCAGAAATTTCTTGAAATGGAAAACATCAGTTTTGTTGATGTTTAGTATTGTTTATTCCTCAAAAAAAAAGATCATGTTGTGAATTAATTTAGATATGTTTGAGGTGCCACAGAATATCAGCTTCTACTACTTTGCCTTTCATGCAATGTATGACTTCACTCCTAAAGATGTGGGAAATTTGGAATTCCATTGTGGTGACATTCTCATTATCTTTCATTTGCTGTGGCGAATTACTGTATCGCATTGTTTATGATGGTCCTTTTCTGTTGTTTTTCTCCCAATAGGGTGATCATGGAAACCCTCAAGGGAGACTTCAAAAGTGGGATCATTGCTTGCCTTTGTTCCTGATTTCAACATTGACTCATTGTGGGAATGCGTTGAGGCTATTTGTGTGCACATGCATCCCATGGTTTTTTTTTACGGTTGCAAAGTTTCACGCGAAATCCCTGTTGACTGCTCTAGGAAGTTGATTGCCCAACATTTTGCTGACAAACTCGTCATTTTCTCAAATTCTAAGCGACATTGCGAATATCAAGCAAGAGGAGTGAGTTGGTCATTTTTCTCCTAATTACCAGTTATTTTTCACAAAGTAATATTTCCTTTTTTTGAAAGCAGTTGAATGATGAAGTCCAGAGCCATTTTGTGATGAGATGAATTTCTTTTGAGGAAAATTTGAAAGTCATGTACTGTATTCTGTACAGTAAATGAACTACTTTCTCTTGCATTTCAGCATATGCATAAACCAGATCCCCTTGACCAATTTTTGTAAGAATGAGTTTTAATACCAAATTCATCTTGGCTATTCATAAACGAAGTTTCTGCATGTTAGAGTCTCATTTAAGCAAAATGCTTGTGAGAGGGATGTTCAATTGTATTATATTGGGGACAGATTCATCCTCTAATTGATCAGTTAACACCAACTTATGGTATCCTGCAATGCTGTACAGTATACTGTAATGTATATTGGTTGATGCAGTTGATTGATCCTATAAAGGATCAATATTTGGATTCCAAAAAAAGCATCCCAACTGCAAAATGTTTTCAATTGTGTATCATGCTTCATTGAACTTGATTTGATCCTGAAGTAGGAATCCAAATTATGACCATTAGTATTGGTGAAGACTTTTTTTTTGCCTTTGGTACCATTCAAAAGAGGTATTCAAGCAAATGAGCTGTGATGTTTATGGCAAAATTAAAATTCTAAAACTATATTCTATATGTATTTATGTATGTATGTATTCTCTGGCAATTTTTATTTGTTTTCCAGTGTACCTTCCATGATGATAAAGTATCTTAGTAGATATCAATTAATAATTTCGCAGGTCTGAGATTTTGATTAGAATACTGCTGAGACTGTATGAATCATATCCATAGGTGCAAACAAACTGGATCCTGGTGAGATTGTGGAAAGGATGCATGAAAATGCTGAATCAACAGCAACAATTCCACCCAAAAATGATTGGAGAAGGAACATCTCATACAAATCACATAAAACCATGTCCATCTCCATTTTGTCAAAAGATGGTAGCTGAATTTTTAGTGAAAGATGACCTGAACTGTGCAAGGTAAGCATATATCTCTCCTTGATGTCATGTATTTACTGTATAATCAAAGCTGCTGAGATTTTTTGAACTTCTCAGCATTTTGATTCCAGAATTTATATTTTGGATTGCCCAAATTTATTTACGCGTGGAGGAAGGTGATGTTTTCTGAATAAAAACATCCTGTTAGGAGGTGCACCTTTCTTTTAAAGAAATATTTTTTCAAGGCACAGAATAATTAAAAACTACTTTTCTGTGTTGGGCACAGAATAAAAATGTGTCCAGAAAAAAAGCAGAAAACACTGCCATTCAGAAGTCAAAATTTAATGGCTAGAATTTTTTGTGTGCAGGGAAACCGTATAAAATCACAGGGAGAGAGACTATGGGACCAAAATAATCATTCTACAGTACCACAAATATGTAATTGTAGACAAAATTGTTCATTTTACAGAGAGTCCCCCTGTATTTAAAGCACCAGCAATCTCACACACAGCTGTCAGCAGCATGTGCAGGCCAATAAATAAATGGCTTGAATTTAAATTCAGTATTTAAACTCAACCATTAATAGATCTGTTTTTTATGCAGGAACCCGCTGTGGATCCGGGAGCTACTACAGCATATGAAAGCAATTGATGTATGAATGAAAACATCAACATTATGGATGCCACAAGCTCAGGAGGTGTGCTGGTGGAAATTTGAAATGGGACAATTTCAAGCCACATGGACAATCTCTTGTCAAGGGAATACTCCTATTATTCCTAAACCCTGACACATTCATGGCTACTGCTGATGCTGAGTTGGAGAACCCATCAGGGTGGAGCATTTCATTGCCCAGCACACAAGTGGTATGTGTGTGGATTTACAAGCTGGACCAGGGTTCAGGTTTTAGTACAGAGCAATTGATGTACTGATGGTCAGGTTCTCTGCAAACTGCAAGGTTGAGAAATTCCTTCAAGTAAATGGTCAGAAAATTTCCATAGTTGTTTCCTGCAATGACATTGTAATAAGCTAAGGGGTGACAAGANGCACACAAGTGGTATGTGTGTGGATTTACAAGCTGGACCAGGGTTCAGGTTTTAGTACAGAGCAATTGATGTACTGATGGTCAGGTTCTCTGCAAACTGCAAGGTTGAGAAATTCCTTCAAGTAAATGGTCAGAAAATTTCCATAGTTGTTTCCTGCAATGACATTGTAATAAGCTAAGGGGTGACAAGAATTCATGTCTTCAAGGGTGCAATTGAGGTGTGTGTACCTATTATGAGTTGATGTACAGTACATATTAATGAATGCCACAGATGACTGAGAGCACACAAGTGGTATGTGTGTGGATTTACAAGCTGGACCAGGGTTCAGGTTTTAGTACAGAGCAATTGATGTACTGATGGTCAGGTTCTCTGCAAACTGCAAGGTTGAGAAATTCCTTCAAGTAAATAGTCAGAAAATTTCCATAGTTGTTTCCTGCAATGCTGACTATAGGGACGTTACTGTAACATTATTCGATTCCCCACTGTTCTTAAGTACAGAAGTTCCCACGTTAACTCCACACACATGGATAATACTCAACTACATGTCATGTATAATTACTTACGGTGTCTACTGACTCTCTGAAACAGATGACTGTGAGTCCCATCCTTTACATGATGTTTGTGTAAATATTGGCAGCAGTAGCAATATAATATTTTTAGATCGCTCAGAAAATTTGATGCATATTTTATTGAAATAGTCTACAGAATATTGAACAGAGTGATTGAATTATATTTGGTATTGTATTGAATGTAGTAAAGACTGCAATAATGTGACAATTCCATTGAGATTTTAACGCACCAGGCTTTCTGCATGGGATAGACTTCATAATTTTATATAGTGGCTTGAAATATGAATTATATTTGTTATTGTATTGAATGTAGTAAAGACTGCAATAATGTGACAATTCCATTGAGATTTTAACGCACCAGGCTTTCTGCATGGGATAGACTTCATAATTTTATATAGTGGCTTGAAATCAGATATATATTTTCTCTTACAGGAAGGAGGCTATATATATACAGTACAGCTGGTACTGTATTTTGATTCATATCTGGAGTCCTAAAAAAGAAATGGCTGGTATGGAAGCAGTACACTAAATGTGTAAGGTTTTACAATGTGAATATAAATTTATCAAGCCTTACACCTTGATTGTGAATTTTTGGCAGAGTTTCAAAAAGGTCAAGAATTTCAAATTAGAGCAATTTATAGTTGAATAAA